TGGATGATGCATGATATGCGATGCAAATGATCATTTGTTTTGATAGTTTTTCAAGGAACTTCGATAATTTTGCACACATCAATGGTAAAGGAATTTGGAACAACAAAAACTCATTTCATTAACCAAAAGCGGTAAATTACAACTTACAACTTTGGAACAACAAAACAATAAATTACAACTTTGGGACAACAACCCAATAATAAAAGCAGTAAATTACAACTTTGGAATATGAAGCCCATAATAAAGCAGTAAATTACAACTTTGGAACATGAAGCCCTTTTACAGAGTTTTACAAAATGACAACAGTACAAATGACAACAACGAATCCTTCTCCCTCTTTCGAACTCTTTCTCCCTCTCTTCTAAATCGAAATCGAACAACGCCAACAACGAATCCTGCTCCCTCTTTTGAACTCTTTCTCCCTCTCTTCTAAATCGAAATCGAACAACACCAACAACGAATCCTGCTCCCTCTTTCGAACTCTCTCTCCCTCTCTTCTAAATCGAAATCGAACAACGCCAACAACGAATCCTGCTCCCTCTTTCGAACTCTTTCTCCCTCTCTTCTAAATCGAAATCGAACAACACCAACAACGAATCCTGCTCCCTCTTTCGAACTCTTTCTCCCTCTCTTCTAAATCGAAATCGAACAACGCCAACAACGAATCCTGCTCCCTCTTTCGAACTCTTTCTCATGCAATCAAACAACAACACTGCTTCTGGTTTCGTCATGGCTCTCGTTAACTCTAAAACAAAACAACAACAATGGTAACTCTTTCTTTACTCTATTTCCAACTGTCTCAATATTTCTTATGAGATAAACAATGATAACAACTCAACTCAAAACAAATCGATTCAGGCATGGCTATAAAAGCTAAATAATCAAAACAAGAAATTTCAACATTCAACAACAAATCATGATGAATCACGATGGTATACAAAATGCAAAGGGAGAAAAAAAATATGAACTCACAAGGTCGGAGCTAGTCCGACGAGCTTACGATTCCTGCGGAGGCTTTAACAGGTAAGGCTGTGAATTCCACTTTCTTTTGCTCTCTGATTCTTTCTACTTTCACAAACTGACTCGAAAATGTTGGTGTTGTTGAGGCGATGAGTTCTTGTGGATGGTTGTGCTTGGTTCGAAATGGTGCAGGTTAGAAGGTTTGCTTCTGGTTTTGGTAAGGAGGGCAGGCTTGAGTTTTTCTTGCCTTTACAGGTTTTGCAAGTGTGAGAACTTGCAGTTATGCAGGTTATCCTGCTTGCAGTTTGAAACAGGTTTTGAGTTATGCAGGCTATCCTGCTTGCAGTTTGAAACAGGCTTTGAGTTATGCAGGCTTGTGCTTCTGTAAGTTTGTATTTTTTCTCTTTGTGAACTCTCTTCTTCGATTGTATATCTGCCTGTTTTATAGTGAATAAGAATGAGGTTTTGGGAGGGGAAATTTGGTGAGTTTGAACAAATATGATGATCTGATTTATGGCTTTTTGATACAGGTTTTGGTGTGTGTTATTTGATGCAATTTCTGGACTGATATGCTGGTCTTATAACAGGGCAGCAAAGATTATGTGACTGTTTTTCTTGGCATTACTTGTGCAGGGGCCATGCAGTTTTGGACAGATTTTTGCAACATATGGACAAACTTATATGGACATAGCATAATAATTATAATATTAATAATAATAGTAATGACACAAATAATAAAATAAAATGTTAGTAAAACTAAACTGAAAATATAAAAGTGAAAGAAAAGAGATATTAAAATTGGTTTTAATTCTATTAATAATTCAACCTAAAAACATTTCAAATGGAATTATAATCAAAATTAATAATAGAGGGAATAAAAATAAAATTAAACCATATATTTTCATATTTTCGAATTAAATAAATAAAACTACAACTAAGAACAAAATAGACTTACATACTCTAAAAATGCAAAAAAGTAAAAGAACTTATATGTATTTTGAGATTTTCCGAATTATCAATAAAAATATAAAATTAAATGAAACTAACAAAACTATACATTTTTTTTATATTTTGGATAAAGTAAAACTGATATGAACTAAATATATTTTGTGAATTTTCTTTTTATGAAAATAAGAATAAAAGAAAGATGATAAAAAATGAAAAAAAATCATGATTTAGTAAAGTCAGGCAAAACCAGTTAAATTTCACTAAATTCACAATGATTTCTAATATTTCTATTTTTTCGTGGATTTTCAAAGCATAATCATCTCTTGACTTGTAAAGAAAAGTTGTAGTTGTTGAAAAGGAGAATCATATGTAAAAGAACCACTAAAAAATTGTCGAAATTTGAAGAAGTTATGAATTTTTGAAATCTGACTCGAGAATTGGCAAAAATAGGTCGAATCGCTTGTGAACGCTTGCTATGTAATAATGCAGATGGGAGGTGGTATCTTAGGTCAAAATTTGGGGTATGACAATAATGATCGATTACAGGCAGGTGCATCTCGTCCACCTAGCTTATTCGGGTCCATGATGTGGATGGATTGTTACCCGGGGTCCGTGGATCATCTGATACTCCTTTTGCTGAGTTGTACCCTGGATACCTTCGTCCCTGAGCCGACTACTGGTTTAACCTTTCTCCCTGACGATTACACTACCCAGTCGGACCTATTATTTCTGAGATGTACATAAGACCCCTGAGTTCAAGTCTTTTCTTGTAAGGACACTGTATTCGGTCACTTAGTTGCAGAAGGTAATGCAGGCGCCACCGGGTTGCTGCTTTATTCTGACCCACGTGTCGTGGAGTGAAGAGTCACCACTTTCTCTTTCCTAAAGTAATGATGACTTCCACCTAAACCTCTGTTCATTGGATGACGTTTCCCTCCCCTAGTGCACTGTTCATTGGACTCTATTAAAGTCGTACTTTTCCTCCTTTCTTTTTTTATCTCTAACATTGTAGAAGGTGTTACATCTTCAAAGGAATTCAATCAGCTTCAAGTGTTCTCCATTTTCTAGGTATTTTCTCTTACCCTTTCGTTTTCATTTTGCCTTTTAGATTATGGTTACCCTAAGGGAGTGTGATGACAAAGGAAATGTCGTAAAACCCTCTAACGCCAAGGAGATAAAAGAGTTTTAAGACTGGTGCATGCGAGAGATGCAAGGCGTCCTAGGTCAGGAGAGGTTTGATCGGATCATAAGGGAAGTTTATGGTTTCACCCTTACTCTTTGAGTGATTCTGATCACGATTCTTCCTCCTCGAGTTCTGTGGAATTTTTGATGGAAGCTTCTGCCGCTTTCAACCTCAAAGTCATGGGTTACAATAATAGCATGTTCGATGATACGAAGATCGCTAAACTTCGATCTTTGATAGCGGTCTCCTCAATTGGTGCAGAAAGGGACGTTATCTTGGAGGCGTGCGTCCTTGGGGATCGCGTATGTGTGCTTCGTCGAAAGCCCACAGATGAAGACTTCTTTTATTTCTATGATGGGGTCTTGGAAGATTTCAGAGTCCATATACCCTTTTCTGAGTTTGAGGTCGATGTCTTGAAGCCCATGAACGTCGCACCCTCACAACTCCGCCCCAACAGTTGGGGCTTTATAAAAGCTTTTGAAATAGCCTGTGAGGCAATGGATATCGTTCCCACAATTGGTTTGTTCTTCTCCTTTTATGAGGTAAAAGGGGCCGAGAAGCTTTTGTGGATCCAAGTGAATGGTCTTCCTCACAGAAGTTTCCTCCAGGTGTATACCTCCAACTATAAGGGTTTCAAGGAGCGGTTCTTGAAGGTGAAATATGGGCCGAGATGCCCCCAAGTCTTATACTCGTTGGGCGGGAAGCCCCGCTTTCCCTTCTACTAGACCCGAGACCATTCTCTTATATTCGGGTTTACGTTTGAAAAGTTGAGTGACTTGGAAGTCCAAACTCTGACCGTACTTGATTCTTTCCGTATGATGAAGGTCAAAGATCTATTGTCTCTAACCGTTGAATAGATTCCCGACTTCCTTGATAATAGCCTTTGATTTTGGTTCAGCCATCACATGCTCTTATATAATTACTTACACCGTCTTTTTCTTTCTTTACAAATAAGATGATAGATCTTTCTGTGGCCGAGCAGAAGAAGTTGATGATGGAGACAAGGGCTGTCCGAAGGGATGCAGGTTGTCATACCTCAAATTTATCCTACCCTTTAATAGAATCATCTGGCTTATACATTATCATCTGCATACCTTTCCATTAGGTCATTTAACACATTATGCATCATTAATCATTAACCTGGCATAGGACCGAGGACCTTGGAAATTAAGGGTTCTTTATGGCTACAAGACTCTTATCTTCACTCAAGATGTGTAGCAAGCAAGTGGTTAGGGTTTCTTGTCCTTTGTGTTTGAGCTTGATAAATGTTCATCATTTGAAAAGCAAGAGGGCTAGGGTTTTCATGCCAGAGTTTCATTGGTCATATCTCTTTCCTTACTCATCTCCACGAATTCTTCGTAGCATGTTTTGTCCTAAGATCATCAAGTAAGAAATGATTAGATGAAGGAGTTATTGATGGAATTGCAAAATATGAATCATGGCATAAAAATGATGTTGTGAAGCAAGGCGTTGTTACCATTTGGTTTGGATTTGGAGAATTGAATGTGCAAGTTGATATGAGTTTCAAGTTGATTCAAATTATTCCATAAATTCAAGTTTTGCTCAAAATGTCCAAAGGATTATTATTCTTAAGATGTTAAGCATACATGGATGGAAGAAGAAGAAGAAGAATGTGAATTTCTTGAAATGCAAGTAACATGGTTTATTGAGTGAGCTAAAGTTTCATTGAGATGAATATTGACTCAAGTGATTTCAAGATGCAAGTTTTATTCAAGTCATCAAAAAATTCATTCTTTTAACAAAGGCAAAGGCATTAATCAAAAGACTTCAAATACAAGATCAAAAAGGATATGGGAATTTCAAGTCCGTTTTGGAAGGGAAAGTACTTGGATATTTGGACTTTGCCATTGAATAAAAGGATTACAAAAATGGAAATTACAAAGGAAATATGAAGAATCCAAAAGAAGTACAAAGAAAAGCATCAAGTGTCATTGAACTTTCAAGCATGGAATCATTACAAATACCATTTCAAAATCATAAGCTCATTGTCCTTACCATCAATACATTTACATCAAAAATACTCCTAAGCCTAAACTCCTTCATGCCATGTTTCATGTTTATCCTCTTCAAACTATGTACACCCGTACCTTTTATTCCATCTTCATGCGAAAGCCTACGCCTTCACTATGCCCCAGCTAATCCTCAAAGCCGTCTCCATTCATGAACTTCATAAAACCATGCTTTGAACTGACTCATACTCGTGCCTTTGCCACTGGCCAAACACATTAAAACCTGGCCCTGCATTTGTTCAAATCAAATCGTACATCAGTTCAAACAATACTAGTATCCCTAAACCTACCGTCATCCATAACATACATTCAAATAGTTTCATTTCAATCCATAAGTTATACAAGACGCATACGTACACTTGCTAAACACTAATATCCAAAACCAACTACTAGCTGCAAAACAGAAAAAAACAATTTCCCGAACAAGGCTAACGGTTTTCTAACAGTCCTAACATTCACTTAGCAGAAAATTCAGACACAATAAAATCACACCTGAATTAATTCAGTTCACAAAAGCACTAAAACCAGATTGGAAAAGTAAAACAGTTAACCAAACCAATACACACTCGTCAAATTCCAATAATGGTTATCTCGCATCAAAGCAAACCACAATGCATTCATTACCATATCATTTCAGACCGAAGCAGAAGTAAACCAAGCACACCTACAGTGGACTGCATCTATACTTGCCAAAAATGCTAATCTGCATCATTAGGAGGCCTTCCGTCAGTTAGGCACCATACAAATTTAACTCCCGTACAGTCAGTATAGACCGCAGCAGAATACAAGCATATCATTCAAAAAGGATTTAAAAAAACAAATGCAGTAGGCTCATGTTCACACTCATACAATCATGTCCATCATCACCTAATCCCCAACACTTTTAACAAGTTGACATAACAATTAACAAGATTTCTAACATGTATTTTTACAACTAACATCAAACTTTTTCCTAACTCATTAACATATTTTTCAAACAATTTGTGTTTTACTAGCCTGCATAAAATTTCCAAACAGACTTTAACTTCAACATCTACTGTTAATTTCTAACTCATTTCAAGCTAAAGGTCATTCTAGCATCCACAACCTCTAACGACTGACTTTTCAACAAAATATTGCACTAACTAACTTTTTCTTCATTTGAACTAACTACTAATATGTTCAACATTTCGCTAACCGTTTTATTTTCGAGCATCTAAGTGATTCTGACAGTGTGCTTTTAACCAACATTTTCTTTTCAACAAAACTAACCTTTTAGTTACTAGCAATCAATAATTAACATATTAACAGCACATCATGTAACTAAGTCAGATTAACTATAGCAGAAAATATCACAAATATGAGATGGAAATTCAGAAAAAAATCAAACTAACTGCTATTAACTCAACTTCTAACCAACGCCAGCTAATGTAACAGAATTTTAACAATTTGTAACTAACTCTCTCTCACTCAATCTAAAAGCTATAACTGGTTTCACTAACAGTTCAAACTTCCACAAAAAAGAATTTTATAAGCCAATTTCTAACAGTTCAGCATCCTAACTAACTCTCAGTTACACTCTATCCATTTCCCAACAACAATGGCGAAACCGAAAGTTACGAAGAAGCAGGAGTAGGAGAAGAAATCGCGCAAGAAACAGGAGGAAAAGATTGAGCTCGTACCTGGATAAGAGTTTATCGGAGGTCTCTGGATTTTTGTTCGTATTCATCAACTCGAAGAGCCGCCGGCGCTATTCCGGCAGGTAAGCCCCGTTCTCCTGTTATTCTTCATCTTTTCGCATCATGCTGGTTATCATTGTGAAGCTGGAGACTCCATAATCACTTCACCCAAGGCCTCAAGCTCAAATTCACGACCTTTGCAATTTAATTTTGGTTTTCCATAGATCTAGGTTTGGTACTCTGGTAAATTGAAAGGCGTGGTTTAGAATCAAAGAAAATGGAGGCGGAATTTGGAGAGAGGGGGAGATGACGAAGAGATTGGTGTGTGATTTGAGTTTTTCCGGTGCATGTGGTGGTGGTGACGGCGGCGTTTTCTCGCCGGATAGAAAACGAAGAGAGAGAGGAAGGTTGAACTCGTTAGGAGCTGAACCGTCTCAATCTCTAAACGACATAGTTTCTTTTAATTCATTTCTTTCTTTTTTTCTCTTAATTCAATTAATTCTTTTTTAATATAAAAACTAAAAAAAACTATGATAGTGATGATTGTGTTGAAATGCTGGATTGATTGCATCCCTTGGCCTTATCGTTGCATTTCACACTCTTGCTTGACCCGGGAACACTTTTTTTTGGAGCCTGGGGGCTTTACAACAAAAAACTCTTAATGGACTTGGTGAGGGTCTGGGCTGAATCGAATTGCCTTAGGCCAGTTTTCTTATTTTTGGTAGCTGGATTACCTTGCTTAAAAAACTGCTATTGGACATCACTTCTGATTGGGCTCTGCGCCTGCTTACTATACAACACTCTGGATTCTGCTTGCACCCCATGATTTCTTTCATTGTATTTTGTTTTGGATCATTATTTGATAATTGTTTATAGTTGATTTTCTTTTCGATCTTATTTTTTCTTCATCACGATAATATGAAGAAAAAAAATGATAGAATAACTTTCTTTTAATTTGAATAATTGTTTGTGTGATATTACCATGATCCCTATAAGATTTTATTGCTTTCTTTTATTTATTGTAGATCGATGAGTCACTCAATTAGAATTGAGATCACGACTTCGTTCTCAGTGCCTGATTTCTATAGGACTTTATTGCTTTCCTTTATTTATTATCGATCGATGAGTCACTCAATCAAAATTGAGATCACGACTTCGCTCTCAGTGCATGTTCCCTATAGGATTGTTATCCTCGCCCTTAGGTCTATCTTTGTATGCTAACACTAGGTAGATTCTCCCTTTGTTAATCAACTTTAGGGTCATTGCATGCTAACATTAGGATTCTAGTCCCCCTAGATTTTCTTTCTTTTGCATCCATCTTAAAACAAAAACATTTTCTTAATCAAATTCAAAAACACATTAATAATATGATACGTACAAATATGTCATGTGTCTTAAGCACATGTAGAGTATTTTGGATACGAGGTGCCTGGCTCGACCATCTAAAAGTCTCTTATGTCATAAACTTTAGTATTGCATGTATCTCAAACACTTTCAAAAATAAAGGTGAAGTACTCGGATACCTCCAGCCTTGGAGGATCCTCTGAGGTATTCTCTAAGCAAAAACACTCAACCAATTTAAACTTTTTTTGCCTTCGGGCTTGTCTGTTGAAAATCTTTTCAGGTAAGAACATGTTAATTCCTTTATACGAAAATTGCGTGAGTATCCAAAGGTCGAGCGATAGTAGCATACCAAATTAGCATTGTTCACTCAAAAACACCAACAAACCAAAACTTTTGAGCCGAACTACGGCGCTATGATTCCTTAAAAGGGATACATAGACATTAGGTTGCAGGGCCTTAGCGAGCACAACTATTTAAAATCTTTGTTTTCCCTGTATTTTTTCATACATGCATTCCCTTAGCAAGTAAGCATTAGATATAACACACCCTTTGATTAGAATAACAAGATTGGATTTCGTGGAGTACCACGAACGTGAGGGGTGCTAATGCCTTCCCCTTGTGTAATCGACTTCCATACCCTTTCTCTTGGTCGCAAGACTATCTTATCCTTCCTTTTGGAGTTTTCTCGATATTTTCCCTTCCTTCGGGATAAATAAAGTTCGGTGACGACTCTGTGTTTTTCACGGTGCGACACAGGTGGGCCTTCGCAATGAAGTCAGGCATATCCGGGCTGGAGACCTAGACTTTGAAGAAGCACAAAGGGGTAGGCTCTAAGGCTATCTCCAACATTGTTGAGCCCAAAGTTTTTGTTCCAACTACCCAGGAGAAGACCTAGCAAGACACTCCCCAAAAGCTAAAGACCCTAATGAGAAATGACGTTTGTCGGACTGACATAGAAATCACCTCTCTGAAGGGAGAACCCAGGAACAACCATGCTTCTGGGGAGTTCAATTTTTGGTCCAACAACTTCGATAGAGTCCACTTTTTATATGATCATCTCAACACCACTGAGGATGTCAACAAGGATAAGTTTGTTGGTCGACAGAAAATGACCCAGAACCTCAGTTCCTATCTCATGAGGTGTGCAGTTCTGACCCGTGGTCTATTTGAATTTATTGATGATCATGAGGAGACAAATTTGAAACTGAAGGAAGAGATAACCCGCGTGAAGGAGGCTGAAAAGGCTTACTCTGAGAAGTTGTCCGGTATGAAGGAAACCCTTAATAAGGAGAAAGAGCACCAGGAGACTTTGGAGTCCGAAAGCAAGGTTACTCTTACCCAACTCAATGAGGGGTTGAAGGTAGAGAATACCACCAATGATGAGCTGAAAGACACTACTCACGAGTTAAGGGAAGCTCTTAAGAAGTCTCAAGTGGATGTTCTTTCTACCGCTGATGAAGCCTTTGAGCGAGCTAAGGATCATATATTGTGTCTTCATTCTGGCCTGACCATATCGAAGATGGACTATTTTAAGGTGGTGCAGGATGGCCGCCTAGTAGATCTCGAAGATATGGAGAAGACTCCCTGTCCTCAGCCGAATCTTGAATATCCTTCTTCCGCGGGGAATGTCAACAACGATGATGCCGGGAAAAAAGACCCTACCGCATGATGACTTGTTCTATGTTTCTGTTAGTCATCCGATAAGGATGCAATTATGTAATTTTTGTAAGGAGTGGTTCGCCATCCTTTTTGCTACTTTTGACTATTGCCTTCAGGATTTTGTATATCCGACTGCCCTTATGTGGTTGTGCATTTACTATTTTTCCGTGTATCTTAGCCTTCCATTTGTATTTTTTTGTTTGTGCATTTTTGGCTTTTTAAGATAATCTGGTATATGTAAACCCCCTGGAGATAAAAGTCCACCGAGTTGCTTGTGTCAGATCATGTAGTGTTGGGCATTATCTTATAAGAGACCTTAGTCACCTTTTCGTGGTTTCTTAATACTATCAAGAGTACTTCTTTAAACGCGGTCAAAACTCGGTCTTTGAGTCCGTCGACGGTTTATAAAATTAATCTCTTGGATTTTCTTATAAGAGTCCTAAATCGGTATATGTTTAGAGGTTATCTACTCATTCATCTCTCGAGCTTAATGA